GAGAGAGAGAGAGAGAGAGAGAGAGAGAGAGAGAGAGAGATTTAGTTATCATTAAAATAAATAATGGAAGCAATAAAATTGTAAAAAATGTTTCCATCGAATAATATTAATCATTAATCGATATTAATACATTTATAATTATTGAAACTGAAAAAAACTCAAAAAAAGGAGCTGATAACCTTTGATTATTATTGTTCAAATTAAGTTAATAACAAACAAAAATTATTTGTATAATAATTTAATATAATTATTACTGTAGTTATTATAATTACTATTATTACAATTATCATAATTACTTATAGTTACAAAATAATTAATACAATATAAAAGATTTATAATCGCTATAATTTGCACAATAATTATTCAGAAATTATAAATTAGAACGTGATGATTTCGGAAACAACAATGCTATTGCACACTTGCCAAAATATAATGTTAATAAATTATCTTGCGACATATCGACCAATGATCGATGACTCACATCTAAAATAAATCATGATTCATAATACCAATAAACGCGATCATTTTATATTGATTGAATTGACTGCTTATTTTATTAATAATGGAATGTGAAGAAATGTGTGTTCTTTGTCTGTATCATCATTGTTTTTATTTAAGAAATGTTTTAAGATGCTATTTAATACAGCTTTATGATTCACTTATGATATTTTTAGACAATCATATTTATATATAAAAACTATGAACACCAACCTTTATCATTCTGGTTCCATAGAATTTATTTTATACAGTATGTTTAACAAAAATAATTCAAGGAAATAATGTAACATTTTCAATTTTAAATGAAATTATTCTATTCAAGGGACAAAGGTGGGGCCTTGAGACTTTAAACGGTTTATTTCAAATATCCTTGCTGATATAAAAGTAAAATTTAGTATTTAGCGGTAGATTTCATCATAATTTCATTCTAAATGAGAGAATTCAAGATTTCACTCTAAATGAATTTATTTCAGAGATTCCATCTCTAAGGCAGAAATCCTCCTATATCCGCGGGCATCCTCCTTTAGAATATTTTCCATTTCATTTCTTCCATCGCATGATTTGGTAATTTATGCAGTTGATTTTGGAATATTCGTCCTACTTTCGATGTATCAACAGTCATTGCACACTCAGTAAACATTCATCAATACAAAAAGATTAAAGTATAAATATTATATAGTATATACTCTTATAGTCCGTGAGATACATATCTCACTGCTTCACCTTCCTTGAAGTATCCCACTGCTTTCACCTTGATTGCAACACATACGTATATGTTGCGGCAAAAAAACATGCTGCAGCAGAGTGTTATATCACATTTTAATTTCGTCGATTTATCGTTGATATACGTGCGCATACAAACACACACACATACACACACACACATTTTATTTCTCTCAGTTTCTATTAGATTAGAAAAATAGTTTTGCGATGTCGTAGAAGAGCGCAAGAACGCGCGCGCGCCCACACAGAGTTTCTTATTACGTACAAAATTCAATTTTTACGATATGCTCGAAAAAGAGTGTATATAAAGAGATAATTTTGTCATTAATATTTCCAATTAATTTATCTTGTTCCTATTTCCTTGCTACATACAAAACCTGATTGCGCAATGTGTTCTTAGAGGAGTATAAATTTCTTAGTAAATTCTTATTAACACTGATAAAAAATTTTTCTTTTCGCAAATTCCGCGCGATTTAGATATTAATTTTTTTATAGGGATTCTCAATAGTCTTCTATTTTAATAATATCTACCCCGCAGAGAGCTTGAGAAAGTTAAATACACTCGGGAAAGCAGCGGAAATGTGATGAGTGGACTGGCGATTGAAAACATGTTTTCAAATGTTTGATAAAGACAATAACAAACGCAGCGTAAAAAGCACACGAGCGTTAAATGTCCCGATTGGAATTGCGAACATTAAGACTTATTAATGCTCATCGAGAGAGTGGCGATTCAAACAGAAATTTTGTTTTATTTGTTTTATGCGTATGACGTCGAATGCGATTAAACTCGCGTAATATATATATATTAAAATATTTTGCTCTGTATTTAGCGCTTATCGCAATTGATATAGTTTACAGCAACATAAGAGAATTATATCGCATTGCGCAATTGAAACATCATTATTTCCCGTCAGTGACACTTTCTTATTCTTTTTTTGGCTTATGTGTACGCTACGTAAGTTCATGATAATATTCTTTGACGCAACTATATACTCAACTCTCTTCTCTTTTTTTCTCTCTATTCCAAATGTTCTGCTGAATTGATAGTCACAGTTATCGTTTGTTAACTTGTATTTTGAAAATAGAGCATGACCATCGTTCCCGAGATGGCCGGGTAAAGATTACAACAATATTAGTTTTTCGTTATTTGTTTACGCAATATTCATTTACGATTAGATAAAACTAACGATTCGTAATGATTAATAAAATCATCAAAAGTTACTGGACTTAGTACCCTCGGAGTATGACCAAGGTGATACGATCTTGTTGACGTATCATTCGGTCACAGCCAAGGATCTACGTTTCGCATTATCGAGAAATTCACGCAAGATTTTATGCATTTTTTATTTGTTCGCTAAATCATGTTTACGCATACTAAAAAACCTGGATGGAGAGAAAAAGATTCTATTTATCTATTATAAATATACCTCGTATCCACTTCAAGTAAATATCGGATGCATCAAGAATTTAATTGATATAACTATCATCGATATAAATTCAAATAGATACCTTTATGATTAGCCGTTTATTGTGTAACAAGGCCATGCCGTCAGGATAGATTTGGATAGTGTGAAATGTAAGATAGGTCTATTATTTCGCAATAAAAGGAATATTTGCAAGTTTAAGTGAAAATAAAAGAAGCGTACGCAGTAATTTATAGCACCAAATATATTCAGTCTTTGATTACACACACCTAAGAACATTTTGATTTCATTTTACGTTATTCAGTGTATGTAAGCTTTTTCGCAAGTTTTTTTGATCGTAGTCTACTGTTTTGGATTTTAATCATTACGAAATGTATTTTGTTCACGGACAACTGGTAATTACACAATGCGGATAAATCTAAAAGGCGTATCGTCAAAACGAGTAGCTTTGTAATGAATCATCGTGCGTCGAACGGAAAATTATCTCGTAAATACAAAGCTACCTTTATCCTCATGAAATGACGCAGGCTTATCTATTAACATATATACAGAATTGAGCTATAAATTTCTCTTTGATTTATGCATTATTTATCATTTTAATTCATTATCCGTGAATTATAAAACTGAATTATATCTCTACGAAACTATCGATGTATAATAGTTGCATAGAACGGAGAAAGACAGAATGGAAAAAATTTGTTAAAGTCTTATCTCATCATATTAGAGACTTGTAGAGGATATTTATTAGACAATAGTTTATTAGGCAAACATATATTTGACTTTATGCTAAATTTATCGGTAAATGATAGTTGAATTTTATTAACAATAAAAGGCGGTAATCTAAAGGTTTAGGACGTTTGTACAGAATACAAGAGATCAGGGTTCGACTCCCGGCCGAGGCAATAGTTTTCACAATAAATTTATTTACAGTTTTTCAGCACATCTTTCTAATATGATGTTTGATTGAGCATCAAATTATTAAAAATTACTTGTCAATTTAATTTAATTCGTGATATTATTACAGTAGTTTAATTGTGTTTATAAGTCCGCAAAATCAAGTCGGCGCGCAGTTTTGAACAACTACAAATATGGTATATATGAATGTACATACACTGAGTGCAAAAAGTATTCGTACAGAGAAAATATCTTTTAAAAAAACTTTATTTTTAAAAAGTAAATATTATCCAGCGAAGAAATGAGTCATTGAATGAATCGAATCGATATCAATACAATGATTTCAACATCAATTTGACGTCAATTCGACGTTTAATTGATGATCATTTCTGGGTAATTAACAATTTATTCATAAAGAATAAAATAGAATGTTTCTTAAAATTATATATACCAAAAAGATGTATTGTATATTAATTATAGAAAATATATCATCTAAAAAATAAACGAAAAAAATTAAAAATTGTATTGTTTGTGGATGCTCAAAAAGTATTCGTGCAGTCGAGAAATTTAGCTTCTAAAATCAGAAATACATGCGAAACTTTGTTTATGTTAGAACAGAATGTATACATTATATAAAATTATTAATTAATGTTTATTTTCTACAAATAAGATT